AGGGTCAGACGGAAAATTGCAGCACAGCTGCATGTCTCCTCCTTCCAAGAAGAAACATCTCCTAACTTCCCATGTAAAAACGCCAAGAAACCGAATGCTCCAGGGTAGTCGAAAGAATCCCAGACTGCTGCTGAAAATTCGTATATACAGCTTCGAAGATGCTGCTGCAAAACTCCAACCGCTATAATTCCCAAAGATGCTCCAAAGTTGAAATGCCTCTGTAGGGTAACCCGCTCCAATGGTCTTGAAAATCGGAAGGAACTGCTCCGGAAGACTCCCACACGAACGAAAAATGCTGCACGAGTAGAAACATTGCTTGTGAGCTGGTCCCAACTCAGCTCCAATAGTACTGCAACAAAATCTTCGCGCGTCGATACTGGTGTAGTCGACTCGGATGGCGAGGCAGGGTCGTGTTCACACAATCCGGCGAATTAGAAATGGAGGTTGTAGCGGGTGGTGGCGAGAGGTTGACGATAATGGCGGCGACCTGTAACCTATACTAAATCATTCCACAGTTAAATCTCAAAGAGAACCCAGGGTCAAATGACGCCAGCTGCATCAGCTTCTCTTTCCGTACACGCCAAAAATTTCGGGAAGAATCGAAACAGCTACTGCTCTCCTCCTCCTCCAGGCACTAAAAATATTCCGAGAATATCGGTCGATGTTGCTCATACTGCAGAACATAGAGGGCACAACTCCAGCTGTAAATGCTTGAACTGCTCCTCAAACCCACCGAAAATGTCGGAACCACTCGGTACTTAGCAAACATCGTAACTCCGCTTCACAGCTCCTCGTAAAAATGCCCAAGCGTCATGACGTCCTTTAGCAGTGCCCTCGCGATTGCTCCACCAACTGTACGCATGAACTGAACCGTTTATATTAGGATTTGCCGGAGTCCACCGCCTCAGCATGATGTTTTTTGACGTCGATCAGGGTCAATGCGCATCATACGCCGCCGTTTTCCGCCCAGTTGTTACCCAACTTTAGAATACTGTACTCTGGTACACCTTCCAGCTGGCTGTGCAGACGTTCACCCATCTCGCGACTGCAGGTCACCCAAAACCGCTTCGCTGCTGTTTTTAACTAATCAGGAGAATCCGTAGATATAGGAGTGCACATGCTTCTAATAAGAGGAGCTTTAACGAGCTTGCCCTACTAACCGCTAGACAGCTCCCTCCTCCGTCGGAAACTCGTCGAACTACACCCGCAAAAGTCGGAAACTCCTTCTGCTGCACCAAGTGAAAACCTCAGCACCGCTGCAACAGTAACGCCTGAAATTTCGGGAACACTCCATCAGCACAGTGTAGTTCACAGGTTCACCCCTCATATTCAGCCAAGAGCCGTTGATTATTGAGTCGACAGTGCTATCTGGTGTGGATGGTGATTTCCAGGCGACGTAGCTGAGCGAGCAGCAGCCCGAATGCCGCTAACCCATAACTACTACAGTACTCCCGTCGTTCTTCTTCTACTGCTTCAACTCCTGGCAGTTAACGCATTCGGCGACCGGTGGAAAAACACTTAGTACTCACCCACGATTAGTGGTCTCCGTTTCCGTTGATCGTGGGGGTATGAATCGCTGGTCCACGAAAAACGCCTCCCCACGCGAGAAGTCGCCCTCGCTGAGGACACTCACTCCAGCACATCGTCATCACCTCCAGATGGCCGTCGTGGTGAATAGCGACGAGGTCGTTAATCCCAGCTGCTCCCACACAACTGCACACCCACACGTCCTCGTGTGATCGTGTCGTTCCGAAATTGTCGGATCCGCTCATTACCGAAACAGTTTTGAAGTCCCGTCCATCGTCTGCAACTAGCCTGCCGAAAACGCCGGGACCCGCGACATAGCTACGGTTCACCGTGCAACTTCATGGCGCACCAGACGTACATCGTCGTACATCCCGCCATTTTCTCCACCCCACACGCTCCTGGAGACCAACTCCTGGTTGCCTCAGGACTCCCGTGCACTTGTTTCCTCATGACGAGGCCTTCGCTTTTTTCGGAAGCCAATTCAAAGACTCCGTCCGAACACCTGAAAAGTACGAAAGCTTTAACTAACATACTTGAAAAACAATGCGGAAACGTCGACATCTCTTCGACGGGAAATAATGTCGTCTACGACCGGAGAAGGGGAGGACCGGCTAATCCCAGTCATCCATCGGACAAGATCTAACAAAATCGGCAATGCCTGCGCAATTTATTCCCCCCACGTCCGCTCGCCATCAGCATCCTTCCGCCCCCTTCCTTGATAGGGTCTGCTCCCCTATCGGAAACCTAATGGGAAGGAACGTAGTGCAAGTTGACCAGGTTGAATGTCGAGGGTTGGACCAGTCAAGGGCTCGAAATGTTGACAAACGGAAGCTAGGTACGAGGAGAAGACACCATGAAATAGCGTAAAAGTTTATATCTAGGAGGGGAGAAGTTGATGAGAGAAAAGAGAGTCGAGAAAATTGTGTCAGTCTGGGACGGCCAGCGCGTGCGACTCGCGGTGACACTGATGCGAGGGCCGGCACTCGAGTTTTCGACGGCAACAGTACCTTCTTCCTTGGCGAAGCCACGTGGGAGCAGTTCCTCACCGACTTGCTGAAACCTTTCGAGCCAATAAATTCCGGTTTCCTTGCCCTGGAAGAAAATCATCGCCATCGACAGTTCGGGAGTGTAGCACAGTACACGCATCAGATGGAAGAATTTTATCACCACATTCCCGACCTGATAGAAGGGGAAAAGGTACAGTCCTATCTCGCCGAACTGAAGAGCCAAGTGAAACGCCAGGTCGCAGTGACAAATTACGCGAGCTACGGTGACGTCGTTTCGGCAGCGGAGCGATTTGACATGGTTAACTCCGGAACACGACGAACACACGACGACAGTACGTGACAGGGTGACTGCTCGGCTCACCCCACGTTCGGCAACCTGATGGGCATCGATAGGTTCGATGGGCGGCCACGTCCAAAAAGCACCAACTTCACGTGTGATTTTTGCGGGGTGCCGGGGCATCAAATCTTTGATTGTAATAAGATGAAAGCCACACGTGCAGAGTATCGAGTGCACAACAGTGGCGGAGAAATTTCGGGAGGGACTCCGAAAGAAGTAGAAAATTGTGGAGATCTTACCGATACCAGAGAACTTAGGGGAAAAAATAATGAGTGTGGAAAGAAGCAGACCTTTCCACAGAATCAATGTTCTCTCCCGACACAAGTCCACAATGACTACCCATTCCTCAGGGACGACATCGGTGGAGCTAAAGCAGCTGAAGAGGAAGCTGGGGGTCTACAAGAAGCTACAGAAGCTCCAAAATCCTCCTCCGGATGCATCCAGCTGAGCAACTTCGGCATCAACACACATATTCGTCAAGGAAACTCCAGGCCCTAGGGAAGAGCCTTTCTCGAAGCAGCCTCGGCCAGCTGCCGACTCAGGAGCAGATGGCAATGAAAAGGTGTGTACAAAATATTGGGATGTACCCTATAATCCGATTAATAAAACCATCTTTGGGTACTCCGAGCAACACCTGCCCCTCATGCTCGAGGTCATCTGCAAAAGACGACGCCTCCAAGCACTTGTGGACACTGGAGCGTCACTCACCGTATGCGACAAGTCAACAATCGACCGACTTCGGGAAAAGTACAAGCCTTCAGCATTCTCTGCAATGATGGTGGACGGCAGCTTGTTACCAGTCTACGACGAAGTGGTGTTACACCTACAAATCAGACCACTGCGTTGGGAACATGCCCTCCCCATCACCAACATAAAAGGGCTTGACTTGATCTTTGGGCGAGACTTCCTAAAAAAATCCAACCCCGAGATCAAATGGGTCAACCGCACTACAAGCATCTACAACAACATAAGGAGAGTCCAGTTACCAAACTGGGATGACACAGGAGATCCCAGTAAAGACCCTTGCCAAAAGGATGTGAAACAAAACGACACCGGGTTCCTGGCAATAACAACAGATGCGGAAGATAACGGAGAGAAAGCCTTGGAACCTCCAGAAAAAATTAAGGATTTCTAAAAGAGTTCCAAGACATTCTTCCCGACGACCTTTCGAACGAGCTACCGCCATACCGAACGCACCAACACGAGATCGTGGAGGAACCAGGTTCAATGCCGAACTTCTATGCGCCATATCGGCTCAGCCCCACATAGCTAGCCAGCACGAAGAAACAAATCGAGTATCTCCTCACAAAGGGACTCATCCGGCCATCCAGAGCGCCATACAGTGCCCCAATATTCTTCACACCAAAACCGGACGGAAGCCTGCGCATGTGCATCGATTACTGAGCCCTCAACAAGCCACCATCAAGAACAAATACCCTATTCCATGAATCAATGACCTGCTTGATCAGATTCAGGGAGCCGTGCTATTTTCCAAACCATATCTGCGGTCCGGATACTGGCAGATAAGAATGGCAAACAATTCCATCCACAAAACTGCCTTCCGAACTCGATACGGATTGTACAAGTATCTGGTAATGCCGTTCGGACTCACAAATCCATTGGCAATGTTCCAAGCCGAAATGAACCACATTCTACGCCCACTCTTGGACAATTGTGTGGTAGTGTACCTGGACGACATCCTCATCTACTCGCGCGATATGAAGCAGCACGTCGAACACCTGTGACTTGTCTTCGACATTCTTCGACGAGAACGATTCTATGTCAAATTAAATAGTGAATTTGCCCTCGAGAAGGTCCAATTCCTAGGAAACATGGTGAGCTCTCTAGGAGTTCACGTCGACCCCAAGAAGATCGAAGCCGTACACACATGGAAGACACCCAAGAAACAGAAGGAGTTGCAGCATTTCCTAGGCTTCACTAACTATTACAACAGGTTCGTGTCTCCGTACGCGAAAATCGCCACACCACTCACGAGTCTGCTCAAGAAGAACACGCCCAATACAGTGACGGAAACAATTGTCCAGATGTTTTGCATTAATTAGGGGTTTTGGTCTTTCCGACCACTGTACATAAAGTCTTAATGCTTATTGGTGGTACGCTTTGGGAGGGGTACAAAGCGGATGTGTTCACAGTGGGAACCAAAACATCAGAAAGCCGTAGAGCAGATGAAACAAGCGCTCACGTCCGCACACGTACTCATCTTGCCCGACCCCAAACGTGACTACGTCATTGAAGCTGACGCTAGTGACCAGGCAGTGGGAGCAGTCTTGATGCAAGACCAGGGGAATGGACCGCAACCGATCGCCTACCTCAGCAAAAAATTGCACGGGGCAGAACTAAATTACTCGATACACGACAAAGAAGCCCTTGCTATTATCATCGCCTTCAAAACGTGTTATCTCGAAGGATGAAAAGCAACCATCTACACCGACCACTACAGCCTGAAATATTTGATAACACAGCCAAACCTCTCCTGGCGGCAAGTCTGGTGGATTGACTTCCTTGAGACGCACTTTCACTACGACATCGTGTACAAGCCCGGCCACAAAATCAAAGTGGACGCTCTTAAAGGATAAACCTGGTTACCTGATGTACCCTGGAAGTATTAAAGGCACCTTGTATCAATCGATAGTGCAAATTTTCCTCGACCCATTCCATCCTGTGAGAGGCGCGCTGCCGGCCCTCGACGCAGGACGTGCACAGTGGTGCTACCGATGTACAGTAGGTAGGGCGGGAAGCGACGCGGGGAGACCAGTAGAAGACCATGCTGGGACATGTGCCTAAGACACGGGAGTGCAGGGTGACCTAAGCGGTGGTGCCACAGAAGGGTCGGGTGGGCTATCGAGCGACAGGAGCAGGACACGGCAACTGTGGCAGACGCAGCAGTCGGCCGGGACTCAGTGTGCAGTGTAAATAGACTAGACCTTGGGTCACGCTCAAACGCGGCCAAGTACCGACCGCTGGCTGTATCTGTGCAAGTGGCGTGTCTCTCGTGGCCAGGGAACGTAGTGGTGACGCCTCGGTCCTCAAAGTGACCGACACCAATTAGTTTCCTGACAAACGAGGGGATGTGCAGACTGGTGAGGGAGCCGGAGGGGAGAGCTGGAAAGGGGAGAGTGGTGGTGCTACGTGCGACAGCTATGGCGGAGGAGTCTGCTAGTGCGACACGGACGGGCGCAGGAAGCGGGGTGAGAGCTGTGCTGTCCCCAAAGAAGCAATGAGATACGCTCGAGTCAAGGAAAAAAGGAGAGGGCCGCCGCAAGAGGGGTAGGGGAGGAGCCTAGGGGACGTGTAGTAGAGGCTCCTAGACTAGACACAGTGGGACCTAGACCCCTATGCTCCAAAGCCCCTAGTCCTCCAGAGAAACCATAGTGGCCCCAGGGCAGTGACCGCCCCAAGGCCGCACCTCCAAAACCCCCACCATGCCCAACACCCCCAAGACCTCACTGTGGCTGCTGCTCCTGCGGCTACGGCACTGGCCAAAGAGCCCTGAAACAGACGTTGAGGTCGTGGAGCTAGAAGCCAAGGAGGTAACTAATGTGATCCTCTAGGAGCATGCAATCTAGGTGCGGGCTCACCAGCTATAGGCGGTGAGCGAGAAACCGAAGAGCGGAGGGAAGTGCCGGGTGGTCTGGCCAAGGGACAGACCCTAACGAGACCATCATGTCGAGAGAAGAGGCGGAGAAGAACTATAAAAAACGAGGAGGAGACTAGTGGGAGGCACTAGGTGCTACAGGAGCAATAACTGAGTTTGTAGCAGTGGCGACTGTGGAGGGAGCAGTGGCTACGAGTAGGAGGCTAGTAGTAGGAGCGGCTAGCGGTAGGCTGATGATAGCAGGAGCGAGTGACAGTAAGACGGCAGTAGTGGCTAGCTGGCGGTGGGCTGTAGCTGCTAGGATAATTAGGGAGCAAACAAGGAGGAAGTACGCGCGAGAGGAGCTAGTAGGAGCAGCACACCAAGGAGATACTAGGAGTCACTAGGACTGGCGGCACATGGCGATTGACGGTCCACAGGGCACAGGGGACTCACGAGGCTGGTGGCCGACTGACGACTCGCGGCCGACTGGCGACTGGCAACTGGCGGCTGGCGGCCGATGGTCGGCAGCTGGCCACGAGTGGTGGTAGCTGGTGGCTGAATGCTGGGGGTCGGCGGCAGGTTGCCGGCGGTCGGCTGCTGGTGGCTGGCGACTGGTGCTGGCTGCTGATGGCCAGGCTGGTGGAGGCATAAGCTGAGTGTTGGCAACAGCAGTGGCGTTAGGAGCGGTAGCGGCTCCTGCACAGGCAGCAGCGGCAGCGGTGGGAGTGCCAGCTGAAAGGGCAGTGGCGGCAGTGGCGGCTGCAGTGGCAGCGGCGGCAGCAGCGGCTGCAAGGGCAGCGGCGGCAGTGGCAGCTGGAAGGAAAGCGGTGGCAGCAGCAGCTGCATGGGCAGCGGCGGTAGTGGCGGCTGCAGCTGGCTGCTGCAGCGGCAAAGGCGGCAGCGGCTTCGACGGCGGCGGCTGCGGCGGCTTCGACGTCAGCGGCGACTGCAATGGCCCCCACCCTCTTGGCGGCATGGCCAATCTCCGCGGCGATGGGGAAGGCCCTCACGAGGCAGGCGTCGGCTGCGGCAAGGAAGAGGGGACGCAGGGGAAGGAGAGGGGGCGGAGGGCGGGATGTGGTCCATAATCACGTCCGTGGCTGGCGAGCGGGCGGCAGGTCTAGCGGCACCACAGGCGTTGCGCGGCGGCTGCAACCCGACGACGCCGCCACGGCATCATTACGATGCCGCCACAGCACGGCGTCGATGTTGTGGCGGCTCGTCGGAGCTGCGACGGCAGCACCAAGAAGCCGCCATGGCAGCTCAGAAAGGCCGCCACGGTGGCATGGAGACGGCAACAGAAAAAAAATGCTCGGCGAAAGCGTGATAAGCAGGCCCAGGACGGGCAACCTGCTTTGTTACCATGTTGACAAACAGAAGCTAGGTACGAGGAGAAGACGCCATGAAATGGCATAAGAGTTTAGATCTAGGAGGCGAGAAGTTGACAAGAGAAAAGACAGTCGAGAATAGAAGAGAGAGGCATACAAGGAGAGGGATTGTACCCTCTACAGTAGGTTTCAATAACATCTACCTAGCCTACCAATTATATAACAAATATATAATTTAACACGAAATTCCCGATCGTGATGGGGTCAAAATGGGTTCGAGGCGACTCGTGATCAGGTTGGGGCTGACAGGTTTAGCGGGGGCTAGTTTGGCGCGTGACTTGAGGGCCGAGCCTTCGGACCTGAGAGGTTCGCGGGTAATCGCTATGACGAGCTGTAAGGAATCATAATTCCTTACAAAAACCCATTTTATTCACCTTGTCTTCCACGTGGCGGCCATACGACACACGCGCGAAAATTGTGGGCGTAATGATCTAAATGGGCAGCCCAAACGAACCCAATGCGTGAAGATTTCGCTCGACGAGCCCATGTTTATACACCTGTTCCACGCTATGGTGCTCAGACGAACAGCCCAAACTGCATTTCTCGGCTGATCTTGTCGCCCATACGGTCCAAATTGCAATTCTCGCATGCTCGTGTCCCCCTACGTTCAGTCCCAACAACCAGGTACCGAGATGAACCGCATTGACCCCCAAAGTCAGGCCGAAATGTTCAACATTTTGCCCGGGAGTTATTGTGCATTTTCCGGGCTAATGTCCCGTTTGGCCGTGGTTTGAAATTTATGGGGAACAGGACCGAACCGCGTGAAAAAAAAACCGTCTCGTTTAGCGTGGAACAGGTGTATGAGTCCATTACATTGCTCATTCTACTTCATATGAATTTGACCTTTTGCCGTAAATGGGAAACAATACCAGAATCCGCCCAGCCCTCTCCGCGTAGAAAGGAACGCACTTCGACTGCTTGTGTCCCGAATTGCTGGCAATGTCATACCGTCAATAATTTCATCCAATGAGAATCCAGATAATTCAGTGAGCAGTAACCAGAGCACCCCTTCAAACCGCGTCGGGTAGGTCGCGCGCGATCCGCGGTTCGCCAATGTGCTGTACACGGCGCGGCTCGCTGGTTCATATGCAGGGGACGCGGAGAAATTGCGCTGTTAATTGAGAGGGGCTTGTTTTTGGCTTTTTTGTGAGCGCGTTTTATGAGTACGTTTCATGACGGATTTATAACTTCCTCCAGAATGCATCCATTGCAATGAACATGATTTTAGTCTGTCTCACTCCCCTCCTTCCCTCGCCGTCATTTTCGAGAATTCCGCCTCCAGCCCAGCCCTGCTTACCGAAGGGCTACTGCCGACCAGCGAGTCTTTTGAATGTGCAAGTTAGTAGGCGTTCGGTGGCTTGACACGCGTAGTCGTTACCAGCTGCAAAGTAACGCTGCTGGGTGTCGTGAGGACAACTACCAGTTGTCGTAGTCCTTAACTCTGGCAGACATGCGCGGCGTCCGTATCATTGAGCAGCAGCAGCAACCGCAGCCCGATGATATATTGTAGTCGTGCGCCCTGTCCTCCATTCGTTCCGGACCGCGGCGAGCTTGTGTTGCATCGTCCCCATTCGCTCATTATCGTTGCTCGCCCGCCGTGCGCCGATCTTGAGAGTCATGCGACGTTATCGTTCTCGCTTATTATCTCTCATTCGCCACGAAGTCAATAGTTCCTTCCGATCACGCTTCTCCTTGAATCTTGTTGCCATGGGATAAAAGCCGCGATTCGAGACTTCTCAAAACCCGCATCATCTCTCATCAACCACGAGTCGATAGTTTCGTCTGATCGCGCGGCGTCTCCTTCAACTTGCATCCTGATGCCATGGACGGGCTCCCATCGCAGTCGTGGGAGTGGGTCGACGATTATGACATTGGCCTTCTCTTTCCGAAGCAGGAAATCGGCTCGGAATCTCCTAGCGCCGGCACAGCCGACGGCGTTAACCCCGCATCCGTCGCCGCCGCCGCCGCGGCCGCCGCCGTCCGCGCGAAAGAGCACGCGGGGGATGGGCGTTTCATGATGGATTGGACGCCATGCTGTCGGGAGGTTTCAGCGACAGAGCAAGCACCAACGGATGATGATACTATGCTGCTGCCATTCCGACTTCAAGATGAAGTAACGCCCGCAGCGGTGCTGCTGCCAGTGGAAACCGGCGGGTTTCGCCGTCCGTCTCCAGCGGCGGACTTCCCCTTTCCATCTCCACCGCTTGTACAGCCAACAGTGCTGGACAGGTTTCGCCGTCCGCCTCCACTCACCATCTCGGAACAAGAAGCGGCGGCCTTGGGATCAGCGCGGCGCCGCTGCGACTGCGAGCAATATCCGTCGCCGTTTGCTTTTGAGACGTCGCAAGATCCGTCGCCCTCCGGAGGAAGCCGCCATTTTCCCAGCTCCGCTGGTTCGGGCTCCAGCCCTGCAGGTTCGGGACCTAGCCCCGTTGGTTCGGGTCCAAGCCCTGTAGCATCGTCGACGGCGTCGCATGCGGCAGATCAAGCAGCAGTAGCGGCAGACGCGGCGGCGCCGGTCGAGGGTTTACCTGAAACCGTACGGTTTCCCAAGTCACAAAGCTTGAAACTGTACGTGTTGTATACTGAAACGCCGTACGACGTTCGACGTGCGTTGCCATGTTTCAGGTCTCATAAGTCGGCCCGGCCGTCGGGCTCATCGGAATTCCCTTGCTGCCGTCTCAAGTCTTTTCATGATTCTCTGTATCGTAATAGCGTTTCGACTACATATTGAGCGTACTGATGGCGTTTCGACTACAGATGTAGCGTACTAATAACGTTTCGACTATCATAGTCATGATAGCTGGAGCGTAGCAGTGTACGAGTCCCCCTCCCTTACTGCAGTGATCTATGGCCGTTCACGCATTCTCCTTTACCGTTTTCCTTTTTGCTTCTCGTTTCTGACAGAACGGCCCACCAAGCCAAGTCCCTCGCCCGATCCAGGCTGAGGAGATCCAACGCCGCTGCGTCTGCTCCCGCCGCTGCCACCACAGCCGGCATCCAGCGAGTTGCCGCCATAACGGGTGCTGCGAGTGCAGGCAATAACCGGCACTTATTTCCGTCCTCGGCTTCTGCTGGAGCAGCCATGGACTCGCCAACTTCGCCCATACGCCCAACTTCGCCCCCGCCCTCTTCCCCCCAACCATCAACGCTCAGCGCCCCTGCCGCCATTGTTGCTGCTGCTGCTATCTCCAGTGCCTTCGCTGCTGGAAATGCTGCTGCTGCCACCGGTGCTGTAACACCAGCGGCGGAAGCAAACCTGTCTGGCCCTTACCACACCCTACCCTCGCCAAAGCTCCAGGTTTCTCGAACCCGAACCTGTAAGCGAGGCTTGGAGACCATTGCTCAAGGCTGCGACGACGGCAGCAGCAGCCCCAGCACCGGGCGGCAGAGTGGTGGCAGTGCGGGTAACAATGGAAGGGAGAGTGGGCGACAGAATGGGCAGCAGAGTGGGCGGCAGAGTGGGCGGCAGAGTGGGCAGCAGAGTGGGCGGCAGAGTGGGCAGCAGAGTGAGAGGCAGAGTGGGCAGCAGAGTGGCACTGGCGGTCGCAGCGGGCAGCAGAGGTACCACCGGCTCCCTGTAGACTTGCCGGACGACGGGTACGACTGGTGCAAGTACGGACAAAAGCCGCTAGTGGTGGATTCGTGCTGCATCCGAGCCTACTACCGCTGCCTCCTTGGGGCTCCCCGCCAGGCGTCCACCCACCGGGACCTGGAACCCTGCCCGGCTAAGAAAATGGTCGACTGGAGAATCACCCCGGGTGTTCTTACCTACGCTGCTGCCCAGGCGTCCAGTAGTGGACGGCTGGAATCCGGGGAACTGAAAGGCGCGAGTCGACCATCTGCCTCCGCTACTGTTCCTCGCGCCACTGGTGCTTCCCCTGCTGGTGCTTCCCCCACTGCTAGCACCGCTCCCACCGCTGGTATCTCATCAGCGGCCCCCATATCCCCGATAATAAGCTATATCAATGAGCATAACCATGACGCACCCCATCCCCCACACTCCCGCCCGCCCACCTCCCTCCGCCTGCACATCCCCCTCACAGGCCTCCCCACTTCCGTTACAGGCACGCTGGTCCCTGGAGCTGCTACACCTCACCCCAACACTATGGATACAGCTCAACCTGAGAATACCCCTGTGGGGCTTCAGTCGAGGCCGCGAGAGGCTCTTGTAACAGAGAGCCGAGGTGGTAACCAGATTGTGGTCAAGAGGGAGAGTGTGAGCCTGGGAGATACTGCAGCAGAAGCGGATGGAACCTGGAAATCCGCAGGAGTTTCCCCAGGTACCGCATCGGGCATCCCAGCTTCAGGCGTTGAGCCAGAGTCGCTTGGAATGCTGATAGATGCGGGTGCAGGAATACTGACAGATGCTGCTGCTGCTGCAGGTGCCGCAGGTGGTGCAACTGGTGCTGCAGGTGGTGGAAGAGGTGGAAGAGGTGCAACTGGTGCAGGCGGTTTTTGGGAAGGTCCGGTTTTCCTTGGGTCGTCAGTGTACGAGTCAGCAGCATTACAGCAATTATTATTTCCGCCTGGGGAGTCGAAGCGATCAGCGCCGAAAGCAGCAGCATCCGAACCAGCAGAGGCGCTGCTTTCCTCTGCTGCTATTTCACCAGGCAGCAGCAGCGCCTGGGGTGGTGGGGCAGGTGGTGGAGGGAGTGGTGGGAGTGGTGGGGGTGGTGGGGGTGGGTGGGGTGGTGGGGATGCTTGGGATGGTGGTGGTGAGGGTGGCACGGGTGGTGGGAATGGTGGTACTTGGCTCCCTACCAAGCGCGTCCCCCTTTCGACCAACGCAATCGGAATGCTTCTTCCGGCCCACAGCAGCAGCACCACGTCGGCCTTCCCTCATTCACAGCAGCAGCAGCAGCAGCAGCAGCAGCAGCAGCAGCAGCAGCAGATGCTCTCAGCAGCCATGGCATACAGCCACACCGGCACCACCAACACCAGCACCATCCCCACCACCACCATCCCCACCATCCCCACCATCCCCACCATCCCCACCATCCCCACCCCCCCCACCCCCCCCACCACCATCGCAACCAACACCATTTCCACAACCATCCCTACCACAAGTCCCAGGGCTCCTAGAAGCAGCGAATGCAGCCTTCTCCAGAGACCAGCGCCCCCAGGGAGATTCGGAGCAGTGAAGGAGGAGGAGACGACTTTTGAGTCGACTGAAAAGTCACCTCGTTACAACGCCACACGACAGGACCCCAGACGCAGCATCCAGAGGCCAGCGGCCCCAGGGAGATTCGGAGCGGTGAAGGAGGAGGAGGATGGAGCAGGCACAGCATTCGCAGCGGCATCTGCAGGAAGGGAGGTGGAATTGGGCCCTGGGGCCGCGACGCTGCGGTCTCGATCTCTCCTAGATCAGTACTTGGCGCGACAGCAGCACAGGCGGCAGCAGCAGCAGCAGCAGCAGTATCAGCAGCAGCAGCAGGAGCAGCAGCAGCAGCAGTATCAGCAGCAGTATTTTGGGCTGCAAGGTTCGGGAGAGTGGATGGATTTTCAGGAGCATAAGGTCCAGGAGCAACAGGAACGGAAGCTGAGCTTTGAGGAGGGGCAGGAAGGGGGATTAAGCTCTCAAAACCAGCAGGAGAATCCAGCTGGCATATCGCAGGCAGCTGGTCCAGCGGTTTGGGGGTCCTCAGGCGTAACCCTGCCTCTTCCCTCATTTTTCCCGGCCTTGACTTCCGCCCCTGTCTTCTCTTCAAATGCTCTCTCCTCCGGTAGCATTCCTAACCTTGCCATACCTGACGCTACCAAACCTGACCCTGCCATACCTGACCCTGCCATACCCGACCCTGCCATACCTTCCCCTGCCATACCTGACCCTGCCATACCTACCCCTGCCATACCTGAACCTGACATAGCTGACCCTGACATACCTGACCCTGTCTCCCACATCCTCAGCCAGGTCACACCTTCCCCAGTCACCCGTCCCCAAGCTGCACCCTCACCCATGCTATCCTCCATACTAGCAGCTTCAGACGCCGGCATTCCTTCCGCTTCCATTTCCTCCATTTCTATCCCTTCTGCTTCCCGACACCATCCATTCCTGGCTGGCGGCAACCTTCTTTCTCCCACCACCAACACCCAGTCCTTTCCCTCCACCTCTCCCCTGCTATCTGTCCCCAAGCATCCTTCCTCCCCTCCTACCATTGCTGCTACTATGCCTTCTATTTCCCACTCACCTTGCCTCCCGTTCAATCCCCCCACTACCCACCTCCCTCCGACCTTTTCCTTCCCTTCCGCAACCCTACCTGTTTCCTCGCCCCCCTGGCTCAACCAGCGCCATAGCCCTAATGCACCTCATACCTGTAACCCCAATCCGCCTCACCCCTGTAGCACCACAGCGACTGTGAGAGTGCAGAGATCGCAGGATCTAGGGGTCACAGATGCTCCGCTGAGCTTGCTGCTGCAGGGGCAGCGGCAGCTGAAGCAGCAGCAGCAGCAGAAGGACCGGCAGCAGTGGCAGCTGCAGCAACAGCTACAGCAGCAGCAGCAGCAGCAGCAGCAGCATCGATGGGATGCTTTTGTAGACGCTGCTCCTCTCACACAATTGATGCCGCTGTCCATACATGGCATACAGGGGATACAGCGCATACAGGGCATACAGAGCATACAGGGCATGCAGAGCATACAGGGCATACAGAGCATACAGGGCATACAGAGCATACAGGGCATGCAGAGCATACAGGGCATACAGAGCATACAGGGCATGCAGGGGATACAGGGGTTACAGGGCATGGAGGGGATAAGGGGCATGCAGGTCGAGGGTGAAAGCATGGGCATGGAGTGTCACCCGGTTCATGATCCACAGAAAGACGAAAGGCAAGGCTAAGCCACCTGGACTCTCTCTACCCTAAACCCTGCTCTCAGCCATTCTCATACTACCACCCCTTCTGACCCTCCTTTCATGTTTTACCTCCACCACCTTGCATGTTGTATGGCTCCCATCATCAAGCTAAGTGAGCACACGGCGCCTGTAGCCCTTTGCTGCCACAGGAGGAGGCATACGATGAGGTACACTGACAAGCATTAGGGATGTGGTGGACGAATTTTTTTGTCGCAGGGCTACAGCCGCCGTGCGAAACATTATTTTGGAGGGGCGAGACATGCCTCCCCCCTTTTCTTTGGCCCTTCAGGTTCCCGTTTCCTGCTGCAGCAGAATATTATTTAACAGCACTTCCACTACGTGCTATTTCTGTTGGAAATGCGTTCTTGTTTGTTGTATCTGATGCTGCGATCATGGGGGCGTGCCATACGATGCGCACTTCTACTCTCCAGACTTATGCCTATCTAGCACATTCGCCACTACATGTGAGCGATATTCATTGGGCGGCTACATTAAATACACTTGAGTTGATACCAGAAGGCTACAGCAGCTGTTTTTGACCTAACATGGTTTGACTAACATTTCAATGATACGGTAACATTGTTTCTAACCTGAATCTCATCAGTATAATTTTATAATGTAATTTGTGTAATGACGCATTACTGTACTCAACATGGCCGGTTGCATTGAGAGAGCGTGTCTTTTTGTGTGTATTCGCGGGTATCGGCAGGAAAAAACCGATGTTGGCATCGATCAGCATCGGCCTTTGATCGATGCCCGGTTAAAGCTGTTGACCCATAACGCACACGTTTGCGTTCAAGATTAATAACCTTGAAGGGAAAAAATATGGTAGCCGGGTTTCGGGTGAGCCAATCTCGCTCGCCCGAGTTTTGGCGACCAAGGGACGCGGGAGTTCCCCTGTCAAATGTAACTTAGGTCGTCACTGTAAACTATACTGGATTGTGCCTTAGAGGGTACAACACCCCAGTCTATATACCCTTGTACTCACACATTCTAGTTTACTTATTCATCCTGATATGGTATCATATTAGGTTAGGTCCCCCCCTAGCCCACCCACGCTTCCGCCCCTAGGCCCTAGCTGCCGTCTTGCCCCTCTCCTAGCCAGCCCCCTGGCCGTCGCGCCCGTCCCTAGCCGGCCCCCTAGCCGTCGCGCCCGTCCCTAGCTGGCCCCTGGCCGTTCGCGCCCGTCCCTAGCCGGCCCCCTGGCCGTCGCGCCCGCCCCTAGCTGGCCCCCTGGCTGTTCGCGACCGTCCCTAGCCAGCCCCCTGGCCATCGCGCCCGTCCCTAGCCGCCCCCCTGGCCGTCGCGCCCGTCCCTAGCAGGCCCCCTGGTCGTTCGCGCCCGTCCCTAGCCGGCCCCCTGGCCGTTCGCGACCGTCCCTAGCCGGCCCCCTGGCCGTCACACCCGTCCCTAGCCGGCCCCCTGGCCGTCGCGCCCGCCCCTAGCCGGCCCCCTGGCCGTTCGTGACTATCCTTAGCCAGCCCCCTGGCCGTCGCGCCCGTCCCTAGCCGGCCCCCTGGCCGTCGCGCCCGTCCCTAGCGGGCCCCCTGGCTGTTCGCGCCCATCCCTAGCCGCCCCCCTGGCCGTCGCGCCCGCTCCTAGCCGCCGCCCTGGCCGTTCGCGACCGTCCCTAGCCGGCCCCCTGGCCATCGCGCCCGTCCCTAGCCGCCCCCCTGGCCGTCGCGCCCGTCCCTAGCCGGCCCCCTGGACGTCGAGGCCGCCCTTAGCTGCCGTCGCGGCCGCTTCCAGCCGGCTCACGGCCGCCCCTCGCCGTCGCGGCCGCCCCTAGCCGCCGTCGCCGTCGTCTCCAGCCGCCCCACGGTCGCTCCTGCCGTCGCGGCCGACCCTAGCTGCCGTCGCGGCCGCCCTAGCTGCCGTCGCGGCCTCCCCTAGCTGCCGTCGCGGCCGCCCCTAGCCGCCGTCGCTGCCGTCTCCAGCCGCCCCACGGTCGCTCCCGCCGTCGCGGCCGCCCCTAGCCGCCGTTGCGGCTGTCCCTGGCAGCTGTCGCGGCCGGCTCTAATCGCCATCGTGCCAGCTCCTAGCCCCCCCCCCCCCCGCTGCCGCCGTTTGCTGGCCCCTCGCGTCCGTCGCCTGTCGGCCCGCCCCGGCATTCGCGTCGTCGCCAGCCCGCCGCCGCCTCGGGGTCGCCCCGTTCTTCCCGATCAGCACCGCCCTACGAACCCCCGGTACTGTACTAAACCGCATTGCACCGCACTGCACCTCATTGTACCACACTGTACCGCACTGCACCGCACTGTACCGCACTGTACCGCACTGCACCGCACCGCACTGCACCGCACTGTACCACACTGCGCCACACTGCACCGCAGTGTACTGCTCTCTAATGCCCTCTATTGTCACTAATGGCGGAGGTGCTTCGCTTTGACGCTGAGGGCCAGCCGATTGAGTTTGATGCGTGGCTTGCTGACCTCCGTCGCCACCTCACTGGTCAGCGGCAGGATGGCCACTCTCTGTCTGTCCATCTTGACGGTACTCTCCCCTGCCCTGACCCCCCCGTTGCACTGTCTCCTGATCCCTTGCCCGCTGAGCGTGAGTCCACTACGGCCGCTGCCCTTGCTCGCTCTGTCTGGCTGTCCGTGACGCTGTCGCACAGCTGGCTATTAGCAATGCCCTCCCCTTGTCCGAGCGACCTCGCTTCAGGTCTATTACCACTGCCCAGGCTTTCCTATATGCTGTTGTCCAGCACTATTCCACCCCGCCTGCTGCCTCGGTCGGTCGTCTGATCCTCCCCATGCTCTTCTCTGACCTTGCGTCGTTCCCCACTGTCACCGACCTGGCCGCTCACCTGCGCACTATAGACGAAACCTGGCGTGCTGCCTGCACTCCCACACAGCTTCTAGCCCACCAGCCGCCCCTCACCTCTACTCTCTACCTGCTAGCCACCCGCCTTCCTGACCGTCTTGCCACTGCCCGTGACCACTTCCTTAGCGTCCACCCCGCAGACCTCACCCTCACTGACTTTGTTGACACCCTGTCTGCTATAGAGGCCCGCCACCGCTCTATCGCTCAGACCAGCGGTACTGTGCCGGTCCCTATCTTTCAGGGTTGCGCCCCCGCTCGGTGCACCTTCTCCGACAGTTCTGCTGCTGTGGCTGAGACTGCCGCTGCAGCACAGGTCCATCCGGTGAAGGGTCGCCACCCCAAGGCTGGGCGTGGCGGCAGGGGTGGGAGTGCAAGTGTAGGTGGTGCTGGAGCTGGGTCTCCTAGTGGTGGTGCGGACGAGGGGACCCTGCCAAATGCAGCCGAGCAGCCGTCTCAGCAGCCGCCGGCGTTGCAGCCGGACTCGCGTCAGCCGCAGCAGCCGGACTCGCGTCAGCCGCAGCAGCCGGACTCGCGTCAGCCGCAGCAGCCACAGCAGTCGCAGCAGTCGCAACAGCCGCAGCAGAGACGGGCGAGTGGTCTCCCGCCCGGGTGGCCTGGCGCTGGTGGTAGTGCTGGACGTGGTGGCGGTGCGCGTGGTGGGCTGCCGGGTGGTGGTTCGGGTGACGCGCGCTGTCAGTACCTGCTCCAGACCGGTCCTTGCCGTGGCTTCGTTTGCGGTAAGATCGGTCACACCTCCGTCCGCTATTTCCGTCGCCTGGATAACCTGTTTCGTCAGCATTTCGGCCCGTCGCCCGAGCTCCCAGACTGGCACAGTTTGCTTCATCGTAGGGTTCAGATTTTTGATATGGATATGGATGAGATTGTTACTGCTCTGCATGTGATGTATGCTGATGACTCTAGTGTGCTTCCGTCTTATTACCCCTTGTTGCCTAGTTTAGGTGTGCCTTGCTTAGACTCCCCTGCTGCGTCAACCTTAGGATCCCCTGCTTTGTTTAGCCTTGGTGCTTCCGTTGCTGCTTCGCCTCCGGCCGCCACTGTCGCGCTCTCCTTCGCCCTTGACTCTGGCGCTTCCCGGTGCTTCTTCCGCGACTCCACCACGTTGACACCGCTTCCTGTCCCTGCCGCAGTCTCTCCTGCTAACCCCTCCTCCGGCCCAGTTGTCGCCCATAGTTCCACCACCCTCCCCTGCCACGCGGTTCCTTCGGGCTCGCTCACAGGACTGCACAACCCCTCGTTCTCCAGGAACCTAGTTGGTGTCAGCTGCCTCCAGGTCCTTGGCGTCACCACTACGTTCCCTGGACACGAGCGGTACGCTGTCTGTACCGAGGCCACCACTGGTGCTCCCCTGTCCACGTTCCCACGGGACCCGGCATCCGATCTTTTCACACTGGACACGGTGACTCCCCAGGCTGGGACCCCCCCTCAAGTGACTGCGTCTCCCCCGGTTGCTGCTGCCTGCTCCTGTCGGTCTCTCACTCATCTGACTCTTCTCTGGCACCACCGCCTAGGTCCCCTTGCGCTCCCGCGTCTGCGTCACATGTCACAGCCCGGTCTCGTCCTAGGCCTCCCTGGGTCGTTCCTTGAGTTTCCCTCCTCCCCAGCCCCACCTTGCACACCCTGTGTCGAGGGACGGCTCCGCCGTGCCCCTCACTCCTCCTCGTTTCCCCCTACTGCAGCACCACTACAGACTCTACACATGGACGTCTTGGGCCCCGCCCCCTTCCATGGGCCGCGTCGAGAGCGCTACATCCTAGTGCTTGTCGACGACTACACGCGCTACACCACTGTGTTCCCCCTGGAGCGGAAGGCCGACGTGCCTGACGTTCTTATCCTGTGGCTTGTCTGTGCGCGTGTCCACCGCGGTCTCCCTGTCTTGCGTCTCCACTCCGATCGTGGTGGCGAGTTTGCCTCTGGTGTCCTTGGTCGTTTCTGTCATGCGGAGGGCATCATCCAGACGTTCACCTTGCAAGACTCCCCGCAACAGAATGGGGTCGCTGAGCGACGCATCGGTTTGGTCATGGAGGTGGCTCGCACCTCCATGATCCATGCCAAGGCACTCCATTTTCTGTGGCCGTTCGCCGTTCGCCGTTCGCTACGCCGCTCACTAGCTTAACCTATGGCCGCACCCCCGGCAGCCTCAGGTTTCGCCGACCCTCTTCAGGTCTGGGTCACCTGGTGACGCGACTGCGTTCCACGTCTGGGGCTGCCTTGCTCACGTTCGTGCCTCTAGCACGGACAAGCTCACTGCCCGCACCCTTCCCTGTGTCTTCCTCGGCTTCCCCCTTGACGCGTCTGACTGGCACTTCTACCACCCGTCGTCTCACCGGTTCTTTCACTCCCGTGACGTCACCTTTGACGAGTCCGTCTCCTTCTTCCACCGCTTCCCCTACTGTGGTCCCCCGGTTACCCCCCCCTTGTTTCTGGTCACCCCTTCCCCGGTCGTTGCCGCCCCTCCTCCTCCCCCTCTCCGTCCTGCCCCCTCTGGTGTGTCCCACGTCACCCCACTTACGTCGGTTGTCCTGGTTGAGGAGTCTGCTGACTCTGGTGGTCCTGTAGCGCAGTCCTTGCTGCCTGCCCCTTCTCAGGTGTCTCCTCCTCCGCCGCCTCCGCAGCCGCCGTCGCCACCGCCGTCGCCACCGCTGTCGCAGCCGTCGTCACCGCCACCGCTGTCGTCGTTGCAGCCGCCGCCGCCGCAGCCGTCGACGCAGCAGTTCGTTGCCTCCGGGGGTGCTGGAGTTGGGGTGGGTACTAGTCCTGGGACTCCTGACGTGGCTTGTCCCGGCGGGCCTGAAGGTAGTACCGGTGCTCGAGG